TAGACTGGAATAAGTGGAGTAAAGGATCTTGCTCAAAGATACAGCACAGTGTCATGCCGTGACTCGAACCTCAACCCTTCAGCATGTCGAATAATCTCACTAGAGATAACTTAAGTTAAAGTTAAGAAGACAGAAAAAAATACCAAATAAAACATCTTAAGCAAAATATGGTCGTTCCGTCAGTTAAGGATATATCTGTGGTGCATATACCTTGAGTTAACAAAATGAAAATACATATGTAGAAATACAGCAAAAGAGGAAATGTACATATAAATCTTTTATTACGTCACAAGTTTACAACGTTTGGCGACAACAGAGATTAAAATGCTATACTTGTCAAAAACATAAAACTAGAATTTCAGCCCAATATATAAAATGTTAGAACTGTAGTCCAGGTATGGCGTTGGTTGAAATCCTTGTCCGTGAATGTCAAATGTGAGAATCCCTGTTCACTTTAGCAACGGGTAAAATCCTGGATGAGATACGTCAAGTATTGACACATATAGTCCGATATGTCAATGGAAAGAAATTTTATTCCAATGATATTGATTGTAATATAGTGTACCGTCAAACGTTACAATTGCAGTCGAGTATGTCAAAGGATATGATATGACATGTGTATAAAATATATCTGTATATGTGAAAATGTTAGCACCAGAAGTACATTATATTAACTTGAAATAACGGTAATACAAATAGGTGTACATTAAATCATTTTACATTTAAAAGGACACTTTAAAACACAACATGCTTCAAAACGCACATATTACAATGTATCATATACTGTACTGTGTTATCTACTAAATATACCCATGTCATATTGTTTTGCATATTAATCCATGTCCTGTGATTGGCTGTAAGTTTCAATTGTTTAAAAAGTGCCGTCACGCTAGACAAGTACATGACGTCACAGACTTACACACTTGACTCAACATGGCGGCTTTTTACATTTCAAGGCTGCGTAAAAATTGTCGTTTTACACGAATAAATGCCACAAATATTTGTTTATGTAATAACAAGGATCTAACATGAGTTTTCAATTCAAATGAAATTTATGAAACTGAAACTCATGTAAGATCCTATATATATGCTCCCGTTTCACTTTGATGGAAATGCAGCTAAACGCCAAGTCTAACCAAAGTCAGTAACGCGACATATATTGGTTACAGTCATATGGCGGTGTACCAATTATTGTGTGGTGTCTGCATACAACTGTTGATGACTAAAGGACAGGCAATAAAAGAGGAATAGAACAAAAAACACGTCTAACCGCACAAATGGAGCGAACTGCAACGTCTGACCAAATCAGTGAAAGTGGAAAATATAGGTCAATGTGACCTACATAGCCCATGATGGTGCAGTAATCCTGAAGTATCTGCATTTAAAGTTTTTATCATGAGACATTTTTCTTGAATCAGAGACATGGAGATTAACGCAAAGTCTAACGAAGATATGAACGGACGAACGAGCGAATCGATAGAAAGGAACATTTGATGTTCCTTCCATCTATTTGTCGGTGACATAATAAATAGACCAAACATTCATGGGAAGACAAAAACAAATACAAAAGGATATATCTAAGACATGAATAGCATGCATGTTTCTTTTGTCTCTAACAGGTGTTACATTAGGCAGTCGGATACACAGTTCAACCTGTGTAACGTTACTTAATAACCGATTCTGCTCCGGGTTATATTCAACATGTATAATTCAATATCACCGATGTACGTTAGTCTTAATATAATTTTACAAATCGAAACGAACTCAACATATATACCATTAGTTTTAGCTTGAATCGTTTAAGCATTATTCATCTTCATTAAAACATGTCTAAACTTTAGCTTTTCAATAGGTTTAGACATTTCGATGCTCTTGTGTTCTGCATCAAGGGCGTAAGTTAGGCGGTACAATCTATTACTACTTCAAAACTATTTAACTTAATTGATACTTTGCTAATTTTCTGAAGAAGAATTTGGGTAACTGAATAAAAAACTGTTTTTATATTACATCTTATGTCATTTCCTTGCGAAAGTGAATGATGTTTGTGTTTTTGTCGACACAAACTGCTTGCTATGGTCTTTAAATGTATATAAAACCTACCTATGTATCATCACAACAAACACTCGAAAGACATGAAGGACGTTATTCAAGAAAACTATGCAAAAAGTAGAGAGCACCGAATTATTAGCTGTGACGTTACATGTAACATCACGGGAATTGATTTGATGAGTTATGGTTTGTGCTAAAAATCTATGAAACCAAAATTGTTAGCATAACACATGTTTGTCATTAAGGCAGGCCCATTTCTGTTTAGTGCTATCTTGGACTTCACATGCTTGTTCAAGCTACCTGTACTCAGTTCAATAGGATTTTAACACATACACGTGTATCATGTAAAAAAACGTTTGCATATTAGTTGATGTGTTTTCTTTAATCAAGTTATTAAGCACATGTGATTTTTTTCTGGAGATCTGGTTACATAATTGCACATGCTAAACCTGTCCATTATCCATTGCATCATACGTATAGGTGAGGAAGAAAGATTTAGATGATGAATTTATTATGCACAGGTGGTGTTACAGTAACTATAAAACCGTGTGTATATTTTTCACGAGTGTATACCTGGGTGGTCCAATAATCGAGACAATAACATATGCTGAAACATTACACACAGCTGAAAGCCGCCACGTACTGTCATCGGCCTCTTACAACATGTATAAGGTTGGGAACTACGTTTTTGTTAATAATTTACAAAACAAACAGAGAACTTCAACAGTTTGCCTGTATTAATTTCAACGTTTTATATCTTTTCGTGAGGTATCAACCGTCGTTATATAAGATTTTCATAAAGATGTACCATGTGGAACACTTTGTTATTGGCACAAAATGTACATCGTCTCTCTATCACTTAACGATTCCTTCATCATGTTTTGGTGAATAATGGGCACAGCAGCGAGAGATCTCAAATTAACTGCCCATCAGCCTTTCGATGTTCAATGTAACACTTATCTCTTATCATTGAAATTGCCATGATCCTTGATTGATATGCATGAACTACGTAGACAGTAATCAAATTCACGTTGTTTTAACAATTCTTAGATAAGGACTGGTGTGTGAATTCATCATTGGGGTATAATAAAACAGACAGTGACATATTAGTTACGCTTGTTTATATCGATTATACCTCAGTATTGAATGTGATTGGAGAGTTTTGACAATTAAAACCACAATTGATAAAAGACAGATTCAACAAAATCTTTTATCATATCAGAACTGCACTTACATTAAACAACACACTAAAATGACGTGCTGTTTAGAAAGGAGACGAATGAAATTGTCGAGACAGTTCTTGAACAAATCGTTTCTTCTTGAGATGAGATAATATTTTTGGTAGTGTTATAACACTGGCTATTTTTGATAATGCACTAAACAACCAATATTAACACCCAGAGACGGAACAACATTGTAATTATATTTGACTCGATTTATTTTTGTGTTTGCGCTTATTATCTGTTATAATAAAATTCAATTAAGGAAATATTCCTGGCGCCCTAGATGTGTATCCTGCAGTTCGGGAATTGAGAAAAAAAACATACATGCTGTTACCCGGTGAATGTTCGTACACGTAACAGGCTACTCATGTTAGTAAACCATGCAGGTTTTCTTTTGTTTTTCGTGCACCAACGCAATCAAATAAATATGTTGCATCTGTTGCAACACTTTGGTTGCTTTTGTTTTATCCACTTTTGAGTTTTTCCCTTTTTCTCTAACGCCTTACTTAACCATACCTTTAACCTTGGTGTTTTCCTTTACCCAAACGGGAAAGGTAATAGGTTCTGTCCCTTGACCGCGACATACTAACAATGGGTGATGCGCTTTTACTTGACGTTCAGCTTTAATTTAGAGTGTAACGGTTAGGACTTGTAAGCCATGTGTTAAAGGAATGTTACTAGGATATATTTGTTGATATCCTACTGTGACGGTACTGTAAAGTAGTCTTAAGTAGATAACTATTGTGGAAACCGTACTTATATAACCTTAGCTGTTACAAGGGCTTAAAAACTTAACAATCCAATTAACAAACCAGACCCTCAACCAACTGCTCAGCTGTTTGCCTATTAGGAACAACATACATTCACTAGTCCTTATATATATCCTCTTATTCCGGTTTGAAGAGAATATCAATTCCGACATGTTTCTCATGGATACAATGTATCACGTGTAAACGGAGTTAAGGCCATATCCGTGGTTATCAACCAATTCATTTCCGAACACACTGAGGTATATACACTAGGGGATTAATTAGGTTCACGGGAAAAGGTGTTATACTTGTATCATATTTCCTGGCGTCTATTAATACATTCCGAGGTACTTTCCCGGCGGATACAGTCGATTGCTGCTTGTGACTGATGATTGGGATGTTATTTACAGATTATGTAGAAAAAGGGTCAGGGAATATGTTGCGAAGCTACATGAAATATTCCAAAACTATACGTGTAATAAAATACACTCCTGAATTACAAAAAAAGCTGGTTTGAGTACAGAATCGATGCTTGAGTATGTAAACGGTTTACGTTGGCCGGTCCGGAATACTAAGGTATCGTTTGGTCACTTACCACCCGATCCTGGGCACACACCGTTATATCTAAGTCAAATGAGAATGTATGCATTGGTTATACAAAAACGTAAATTCATGAAATTTAGATAATTCGCAAAATACCGATATTATACAGTATTATACCCATGTTGTGCTATAATATTTCGTTACTCATTTGAGTTTCGAAACCACGCCTCATACATAGCGTCAACATGGTCACTATCCATCGAAAGCTTGCTTGTAAGCTTTGCACAGTGTTGTGAGTAATCGTTTGAATGTCATCACTTTAAGTATTCCACATGATTACTTTTGAAAGATGGTGTAACACCATGTTATATCAAAGGATGAGTCCTAGTTATTATAAATCTTCCAATACGTTACAGCATTCCTTGTTTATTTACAGGTATTCCTATGATGACGGCGATTGATTTCCAGTCGACACTTGACCCCAAGTTTAACCCCACACCTACAAACGTCACATTCATGAGAGGGGATCTAGCCATCCTGTCCTGTTCAGTAGAAAACCTGGGCACAAAATATGTAAGTAGTACATATTTAGACTTCCATACGTTCATTGATTCTTGTGCTTTCTTCATTTCTTCAATTAATTAAGAAATCTGGGCAGCAGAATGTAAACAATTTAATAATGAAACTCGACAACTGGGAATGTCAAAGACGATGTACTCATTATTCGTTTGTAGGTTTACATACACTTATACACTATCACAACAAATGTATTGTAACATCTTCTGTTTCCAGAGTTCATGATACCCTTCTTTTTCTGTTATATTATCTCCTTGGGTACTTTTCTTAGGTATTTTTGTAACTAAATGCTTTTTTTGTCCTGTTAGGTTATAAATCATGATAGAACAAAACAAATGTACTGATAAAAATGTTACTAGAAAAACGTAGTGAGGAGAAAAGTTACTTAAAGGGTAGTTTGTCAACACAGATCAACATTTTATGCACCAAATGGCCATTTCGTCGTTTATGGAAAAACTAGTGGTACTACATGAGAATTCAAAAGAATAAAGAAAAAACATGTCTTTAGAGATCGGAACTTACGAAGAACATTGCGAAATGAGGAAAGTGCATTCGAAACTTTTCATCACGTTGCAATGTTTTGATTTTTTTTCTTCTAATTATTGTTTTCTTCACAGTTTGAAATGCTAATACAATACGTCAAATGTGAGAATCCTAGTAAAAAACATCAATGATTAAAATCTCAGCAAAACAAATGATATGTTAGGACTCTAGACTAAACTCGAGGTCATCCAGCAAGAACAACAACCTTGTTACCTACTGGCCTACTGCACTAGATACAGTGTACAAAAAGTACGTGCAAGATGTAATACCAACTCATTATCCATACATGTTATTTAGTTCTGGCTGACGTCTCATCTTTTGAAAAAGTGTAGGTAACCTCTAAGATTGGTTCTGTGGGGGAGTGAACAGAAACAATTCTGATTTCCCATAGGAATCTAAAGTGCTTTGTTCGTGCAAGGTATACAATGTAATTATTTCTTACTCAAACAATTTAGGAGCATTGCTGCATTGTGTCTATTCGATATGTATCTGGCACATTGTCTGCTAGACATGCTTTCCAAATGTCATCCGAGGTCAAGCCCCCAACTGAATTGCCACATATTGTAATGATGAAATACGTGCATTAAGGTAGCAAACACGTTTTCTGGTAAATGTTCGATTTCACACATTCACCTATATCAAAAATTCCGTAAAAGCTTAACTTACTAACCCGGAATGTTTAAAGGATAAATCAACAATATGGATACATATCAGTATGTAGTGTACTTTGCGTTCTAGGGTAATACAGGATGTGAGGGGAATGACAGTGAAGTAAATAGGAACTTCAGACTACGATAGATTATACACCGATAACAGTGACAGAGGATCAAGGAGTAATTTGCTTTTCTGCCCTGCTTTGGCAGATGGAGCAAAAACTCTGACCCGTTTTAACAAATACATTTGCCTTGTTGCACTTAGATCCGGCAAAAACATTGCTAAACTATTTACATTGATAGTATGGACCTGTGCTCCAAATGCTTTGAATGCTTTTTCGCCAAATATGGTATCGTTGTAATGAGATATATGACCTTTGCTGCAAAGGCTATGTCTTCAATGTTTTGCTGTCAACTAGCGTCAATTAGCTGAAGGAGGAAACACAAATGTTTACACGCTAGTAATCAATGTACTGTAATGTCTATATCAAATTGAACATGGCAAATACTCTCTTTGAGCTAGCAAATAAATTCAAGTTCCTTCCATGTTTGACGTTACTAGCTACAATGCTTTGTAATTTGGTAAAACTTCTATGCAAACGTGCATATATGATAATAATAATAATGATGATAATATTTTGAGTTTCTTATACACCGCTTTATCACAATCTTGTTCGTAGGTCGTCTCAAAGCGGTTAAAAATGTATTATTCTTTGTTATAGGACCACATAATATACATGTGAGTAAAGCTCAAAAACATCGTTTAAAGTTATATGTATAATGTTTAAAATATTGATTATCCAGCGCAAACACTTGTTGTAACCTATAGAAAGCATGTCAAAAAATTGTTTTTTATCAATGTGTTAAATGTGAATATCCAGAAGTTTGACATGTTTTTTCCCATGCCGTACTATCATCCTTGTCAACTTATATGGACCTTAGCAGAATCAACATTTTTCTTTTTGTCTTGTCCGCTTGATGGACATTAAAACAAACAAAGTATCCTCCTCCTTCGCCATTTGCAAAAGCTTGGATATGTATCGTACCTTTCTACATCTGTCCTACTATGTCTTCCTCGGAAACATCTACCGTTCACCTCTTTTCTGTTTCGTAGCCATTCATAACATTATTTTGTTGGTGTTCCTTGAGCTACGCTGTAATATAATATCAAACCACCTTTGTTGGGATTCAGACGGTTTTTGAGGGCAGGAACATGTTCAACGCAGTATTGTAAGGACATACTTTTCCCTTCCTTCTAGACAATATCATTATATCTGAAGAGGATATTAAAGATTAACTGTGTTTACTTAATGATAAAAAAAACGTCCTGGCCCAGATGGCATGATACACAAGATAATAAAGAAATTAGCACCTTCTCTAATATGTCCTTTAACTTTACTTTGTGATAAGACTATTGAATCTGGTATTATACCTCTTTCATGGAAAACAGCTAATTTTAATGCAATAAAATACAAAGGTAAGGGTGCTCAAAATGATGTCTCTAACTATAGGCCAATATCTACTACATCATCTTTTAGCAAAATTGTTGAAAAAAATTTATTTAAATATATGTTTAATTATATGAAAGAATGGGATATCATAACGAAACACCAATCAGGCTTCTTACCAAGAGACTCGACTGTAAACCAGTTATTTTCTATATATGACACTATTGTAAATAACTTGGGTCAAAATAATGAAATCAGATTTGTATTTTGTGATGTAAGTAAGGCGTTTGATAGAGGGGTTTTATTCAACTTTTAAGCATGTCAAATCCGGTGTACCACAAAGCTCGGTCCTTGGTCCATTTATTTTCTTAATCTATATTAATGATATAACAGAATGTGTAACAAGTAAAATAAAACTTTTTGCATATGATACTTCTCTCTATGAAGTAATATACATCAATCAAAATGAAATTGCAGTGAAATTAAATAATGATCTAGGTAATATTAATGCATGGGCAACAAAATGGGATATCAAATTTAATTCACTAAAGAAGGAATCTGTAATCTTCTCGAGGAAAATGGAACAAAATCATCTTATTTGGTAATGAAACTTTAACTAATAAACAAACTCATAATCATGTTGGTTAAACTTTTAGTAATGATGGGAAATGGACACATCATATTGACAATATTTATGAGCTAGCTTATAAAAGAATTAATATATTGAGAATGTTAAAACACAAATTGGATAAGAAAAGTCTTATAACAATATATACCTCTTTTATTAGACCAATTGTTGAATATGGGGATGTAGAATGGGATAACTGTAGTAACCAAAATAAAAATACTCTTGAGTCAATCCAGCTAGAGGCATTAAGAATTATTACAGGATTACGTAGAGGGACCTCTCATTGTAAGCTTTATGCAGAAACTGGACTTGAATCACATTGTTGTAGGCGAAAAAATCATAAATTAGCACTTATGTTCAAAATTTGAAATAATGAATCGCCTAAGTACTTATAAGACATCATTGAATCATACCTTCTCAGCAATATAAATGTAAGATACCCACTAAGAAATAGCCGTATTTTCAATCCCCATTTCTGTAGAAGTGAGATTTATTTCAATAGTTATTTTCCCTCAATGTGTAGAGAATTTAACCTTATATCTACAGAAACATTAAAAGCTACTTCCCTTCAACAATTTAAAAATTTCATCAAATCTGATAATATGAACAATACTGAAGAAATTGCTAGCACATCTAAATACTATGGGCCAAGAAAATTCAATATCATAATTTGTCAGCTGAGACATCATGCTAGCAACCTAAATAGTGACTTATATATGGATCATCTGAATGACACATCAGCATGTAGATGTGGACATGAAAATGAAAATGCATTTAATTTTATATTTGAATGCCCACTCTATAACAACTTTAGAATGCAACTAGTAATACAAAATTCTCAATTTGGTATATCTGGTAATCATGATCATTTAAATCTAAAAACTCTATTAAAGGGATGCTTAATATGCAGCGCTGATATTAAGATATCCATTTTACAAAGTATCTCTGACTACATTTGTCAAACTAATAGGCTTGATATGTAATCTCAATCACAGCAAAACTTTACATTGCAAGTGATGCTATTATTTATAGTGTCATGATCACTCTGCTAATAAGTATTGATACTGGTGTATATCTATCTTCACAACATCTCTGGTTTTGTTAAATAAATTTTAGGAGAATCAACTCCAATAATATACATGTATATTAATAATAACTACATTTTCCTATATGAATCCATATCATATTCTGAAATTTTAAACAATGTTTATTTCTTGGTAACTTATCCTATATATCGAGTGGGTGGATGGTCAATGTGTTTGTACACAGGGACTTTTGGGCCTGTATCCCTTGGATTTTATGTAGGATGGGTTTTCAATAAATATACATGTTTTATTTAATTGTTAATATCTAAAACATAAACAGAAAATGATTTAAAAAAAGTTGTAAAATGTTCATTTCACAAGCTGAATTGGAGTTATCTCCCCTGTACTGTTTAATTGGATTGTTATGACAGAATATATGTAATGTTTGTAATTAAGTTTGGAAAGGACTTGAATAGGTCTAGCCTGATGTCCAATCCAATTGACATATATAAAGTCAATACAATCTGATGAAATGAAATAAGGATATCGAATATGTATGAATTTTTTAAGTTTGTCATTGTTTGGCTATTACAAATGTAACACCTGTAGCATGTTCCACATATATATAACTTACGTAAGATACGTAAGAATCAAGGGCACGTTGGGCTATATTTAACACACCAGTATACAGAACCAGCAG